GTGTTGGAGTACACTACTAGGCAGTATATATATATATATATATATATATATATATATATATATATATACGCTTATACAGAACGGGAAATCTTCACAATCTAAAATAACAGTGACAATGACAATCAAATGAACGAACGCACAGCCATAACTGATAACAGATGGAGTTTTATACAAATGACAAGCCAACAACTAAATACACTTAGATAAAGCAAGTTCACTTCTGTTACACTTTGTATTGTGCGTTTCTGCTTCCAAATCAAAAAAGAAAACAATTGTCACAGATAGGAATGCATTCAAACATGGTGTATTCACTAAAAAAAATTAATTAAAATTAATATATTTTTCACTGCTTAAAAATAGCAAACGTTTTAGGAAATCTACAGTGACAGAACGCCAGCGTTCATTAGATTTCATTCCGTATTACACAAATTCATAAAGACTGATTTAATCATGGATAATTATAAAAAAAGTAATTTAAAAATGAGGTTTGCTTGTGGGGGATAAATATGATCGATCTCTGATGGAATATTGACTCCTAAAACAGACGCTTGATATGACTTGACAGTACGTTTCTTCCCTTTGAAACTTATCAGCTGGTTGTGAGTTCATCTCAGAAAGTGATGGGTTTCCCATTAGGACCCAGTCTAAGAACGATAATAGAGAATAAATGATGCCTGACTATCTCGTGGCTCAATATCTCCATGGATAACACGGAAGAATAGCAACTGATGACTAAGCTGGAGGACTTGGTTTTAAAGCTTATAATTTCCTTGTTATTCAGCGACTGCAAACCCCTGTCACCTTGGGAGTCTTGTGTAGTCTTAATCTCAGTTTATAAGTCTTACTGACCAAGTCTTTAATCGTTAAAGGAAGAAAAGTATTCACTAGTAATTATAATGACATGAGTACAAAAAGTTTGAAGACGAGCCATTTTAACGAAGAAAAATGTCTATTCTTAAAGATTTAAGCCAGCTAACTACAAAAATATAAACTGAAAGTGTATTGATCTCAGTTAAAATTGCTTGCCAATGTTTCTTTGATTACAGCTTAGCCAATCTGTTACTCCTTAGCTAGTAAGACTTCTAAATTAAATGAATACATAATTTGACCCATGTAATAAAACCTCTTTTTCATAAGAAAATAGCATAGTATTAGAAATATTGATAACATGTCTATCCAGACTAATAAGGAAAACGTTTATACCATTTTTATGCCTACCACATATACAGAGAGGACTTATTAGTATCCGTAAGGGCTGCAGAGCGTCGGTGGCATAGCGGTTAGGACACTCGCCGACCATGAAACATGGTCCGGGGTTTGATTCCCGGCCGACGCACTCCTCCACCTCGCTAAACCAGTACTGAGACTGGTAAAGAGGAAAGGTTGGGCATGAGGCTAGCAGCCCCATCCTGTAAAATAAACACTGCTACAGAAACTTCAAGTCACTAGCTTGAAGCCCTATGTTCCACTGTGGAACATTTTTTTTTTTTTTTTTTTTGATTTACAGCTTGATTCCACACTGTATTTTTGGTACAAGTATGGAATTTTCAGCATGGATATCGGTAGCCCAAATTTCGCAGGCCGACCATAGATATCAGGTGTGCGTCGGCGGGTGCTCGAACCCCGGACCATATGCGTGGTCGGCGAGAGTCCTAACCACTGTGCCACCGACGCACATGAAAGAAAAAGAGGGCTGCAGAACATATTTACAACGTAGTCTATTGGTGGTGTAAACAGACGCCAATCTGCCCATTCGAGACACAATAAAACAGGACTAAAGAGATACATATGTAACGATAGGAGACAGGAGACTTGGTAAAGGTATGTTTACTGGAAGTTTGGTAATTATATACACCATATCTCCGAATCATTATTTGCACAAATCTTTCTTGTTGTCCTATTTCTGGCCTTTGTACTGTTTCTTTGTCTTCCCTTTTATATCTTCCATGTTTCGCCTCAACGGTGAGTCATTCGCTCTCTTTAACGTCAAATCTATTTCCCCGCTATTTGATATTTTTATGCCGATGAAGGTCCCTTTATATACTACTGTCAGATATATGCTTTTCAAACCCATGTATCAAACATGTTGGGATCGTATCCTAAAGTTCCTAGAGTCTACCATAGTGACTAAGAAGTTTGAGACACCTTTATGTGTTTCTACATACAATTTGTCACCACATCAAGTCTTTTTGCTGATAAATTTTGTTTCGAAACAAAAAGTTAATTTATTATTACCACACTCTCTCGTTTGATTGACTTTCATTGTTTTTCTAATCTTTAGTGTGGCCTTTTCATTTGACCCATATTTATTCTCTCACCTCCTAAAGGTTTATTATTTTCCATACAAGTTCATATAACAAATATGTGTGTAATCATGTTGTTCGGAATATGTCCTACAAACACACTGAGCGAACCAGATCAATTAGATCTCATTGTTTTGTCGAAATATAATGCTATTTCATGCTATCGGAATCGCTTAAATATCTCATATCAGAAGAGATTTTTGATACGCTTTGTGGAGTATAATAAAGTTAGTCAAAAGAAAATGAAGTAAGGTAATTACTTTCTACAATAATCATGAAACGATCACAAAATTCCTAAAGGCCATAAGACTGTTAAATATTCTAAAGTGAATATGTGTTCAACTTACTCTATGTGCGTCGGTGACACAGTGGTTAGGACTCTCGCCGACCATGCACATGGTCCGAGGTTTGATCCCCTACCGACGCACACCTGATATCCATGGTTGGCCTGCAAAATTTGGGCTACCGATATCCATGCTGAAAATTCCATACCTGTACCAAAAATACAGTGTGGAATCAAGCTGTAATTTTAAAAAAAATTTATATTACTTTCCTCTTGATAATCCAGTTTCTAATTCTTTCACTGTTTTGGAGCCTTCTCTTTTCCGTTTATATTTAATTGTTGGATTTATCGATATGACTTTCTTTGTTAACTGTGGTCATTTTACTCGTCTCTTAGTTTTACATGTGTACTTTCTTATTCGGGATATTAGGACACTTCAGAACCACATAAGCTGAGTTGGAAGGAAGTGTTAATGATTCATAACAAATTCGTAAACAATTCAGCCTCAAGTTATCAACTCTGTAATCAGGATATGCAACTTCATGACACGCTCACATCTGCTAGAGAACCATAGACAACCACAGAATGATGAAAACCTTCAGCAGAATGAACCTAAGAAATACATGAAACCTGTAAGTCGTCCTTGTTACTATGCCCAGTCTTGAACATGCCTGTCCTATTTAGCTATTTCCTTGATAAATGATTAATTAATTCAACTGTAAAAACCGATCTGACGGCAGGTTTATCAATTTCCTTGACGCATTTGGATTTAGTAGTAACTTCGGTAGTGCGGACCATTTGGATAGAGTCCCTTTACTTCTATTGAATGTAACCATGTTAAGTGGAATATAGTTAATTACGCAATACTGACAAAGCTCTTCAAATAATTTCCATCGACATAAACAGTTGATGTGCATCTGAGGTTCAATAATAGTTTTTACCACCAAATGATGTAGTTGTAATTGCATCTTTATCAAACTTACTCTTAGTAGTTATTTTCACATTCAAAAGTGAAATGCTTTTACTAGACCTAGTTCTGAAATTGTTTTAATTCTTCAAATATACTTGGTGGTACAAGAACAAACAATATGGCGTTCATATTTATAGTGAAAATGAATCTCCTTCATGGGCTTAATCACTTACTATTAATATTACATCAATCAATGATGAGACATTTAGGAGATGCATTAATCCTATTAACAGAAAAATAATTTTGATCCCTTAGCTTTAATTAACTATCTTACATAATTATGTTCAAGGTGCTACAGAAAACAGAATACAACTTTCGAGAACGGCATTCAGTGCATAGCTATAAAAATTATTTATGTGGTCAACTCGATGAACTGCATATTAAGGAGTCAAAAGAACAAACATTTCTCCAGACTGTTGGCATAAAACAATTCACCTCCAAAAAATAGGTAGACAGATCGTAAACTCCTATGACGCCTGAATAAGTTAAAAGCGGACACAGTTCCGAAATATTCATGCAAAGTTCAGAAAAGCCTACTGAAGCCACAGTAATAGAGCAGAAGGAAATTGAAAGCAATTTTTCAGTTCCCGCCTAAATTTACGCTTCAATTTCAGTTCCCATGTTAAGAACTACTTAATTACTTTGTTGTGGGCTTCATTTTCTTGTTTCAACTCACGTTTATATCATTGTAGTCGCTTGTACAAAAAATCCATTAGATTTCCTCTACACTGAGATGATCAGTGATCTCAACTCGTCTGAGAAAGCTACATCAAGATCCTAAACACTAACTGACATCCTAGTTAGCCAGATGTCATATGATTACCACCATTTTTATACGCCTGTGGAGTCAAACTACCAGGCTCTGCTACTTTGCCTCACTCCAAGTTAGAGACAGCTTTCAGACCGATTTCTATGTTTTCATCAGGCTTGGTTGACATGGTGGTTAAATACTGTATATTGTATGACCAGTTGAAATGCTTCTTTAAAGGATCCGTTCAACCTTCTCCCTACAGATTTCAAAGCTTGATTTGTTTGAGAAATAGTTTCACCTAACATAGATTGCCAACTCTAAACCATAGCAGTTGTTTCGGTTCGGGCTGCTATATTTTACAGTTGCCCATAGATTCCCTACGAACCATCTCACTAATAAGTGTGAAAAAGTGGTGGGTTTTAACCCATTGCTCATATCATTCCCCCTTCTTTGGATTCCATCACTCACCATTAGTCCCGGTCGTTACGGGGACGTTTACTCAGTTCACGTCCAGGAAGCTTCTTCTTGTCAGCATTTCCTATTGCTTATCTATTAGTTTTGAAGAAGAAGCAGGTAATTTCACCAGAGAGCCGAGTACTGAAGATTTCTAGCTACTACCTCCACAATATCAAAATATAAATGTCTGCATTCACTATGAAGATTAGCATACATGTTGCAAGATGTCACCTTTTTATTAATGAATAAGAATATTGTTCATTTGAAGAGAAAACAACACTAAATTCATATTCTACTGTGCTTCAAAAACTAGAAAGCAGAGAAAATGGTTTAACTGTTATTATTATTATTTATTATCATTATTGAATAATTAATGTACAAGATGATAGTACTGACCCTCTAACTCAAATATAGTAGGATCTGTAACAGCTTGTTCCATTCCTTTGTTCTCAAATAAGGAGGGAATACACTTTCACATTAAAATGTGCATTGAATAACTGAAACAACCACATACTCACACACAAAAAAGAAAACAGAAACAATGCAAACCAAAGCGAAATAGAAGCGTGATAAAACACACAAAAAAGTAAGTAAATCTGTCAACAAGTGTAAATGTTGGTTTCTCAAAAAGATAATATATCAATAAATAAATAATGCAATATAATATAATGTTTACGTGTAAGTGTGTATTTACTTTTAGTAATAATAAAATCAAGGCGCTCAATTAGTCAACGTTATTTCCCCCCATTTGTTCAGTGTGTTTTTTCGGATTAGAAGACACTGACGTTAGGAAAATAAAAAGGAAACAAGAAGAAATGTTGTTTATAAATAACCTCATATAAAAAAAGAAACGGTAAACAAAGCAAAACTTGCTAAATTATTGGAACTGAAGAAGAAAACTGTTCATTTATATATATAATCAAATCACTAACAAGTTGAACCGCAAAATGGCAATGAAGGTGATTCAGAATCAAACCAGAGAGAAGAAAAAGGGACTAGAAAGATAGTAAGTAATATGCAAATTTATTGTAAACCGGCCCGAAACAACTATCATCACATCACCTTTCAAAGCTAACCCCCAGCCCTTTAGAAATCATGCGACTAACAATTCTGAGATAGGTCGAGTCCATACCGGCCCCCCCCACACACACACCCACACATAATTACAATATAATACTGAAGTAAATTACAACTTTTTCTTATTGATAAGAGGAGATATTGGTCAAAGAGATGTAATATTTTCAGCAAATAAAACAACCTCCAATACACATTCACATTTCGTTGTTAATTGTAAGTTTTTACCCATTCCCCTATTCTTAACTATCATGCCTCTAACAAATATTGATCTTGATGCTTCGACAGCAATAATAAATAGTTTGAAGGGATGATTATGAATACAACTTCAAGAATGAAGAAGGTAACAGCGCCAAAGATAAGTGTGTGCAAAAAACGTGAATAAATACAAACTAGACAGGAAGAAGAAGAAGAGCTGTACATGTTGAATTTCATAGCTAATTTCCTGATATATGTATATTTATATGTAAGCATCTGTAAGAACAAAAGATTATATTAACAAGCTCTGTGTTACATAAATGTTGTATGTTTTAGTAATGTTGTATAACAACAGTGTTGACAGTCTGTAAGTAACTTTACTTTCTCCTAACACAATTTTAAACAAATAACTGATGAGTACAAAAGGAAGTGTGTAAAAGGGGAATTTCAGCAGTCCGACTAATTATCATCTGTCTACAGACAAATATGTATGCAGCATATATAAACAGTTCTTTCAAGAAGAATTGGGATTGAAAAGTTCTTTATATAATTCACAAATAAGATAAGGTTGAATAATTGTATTATATTTATCATGTAACCATTGTGAATTATATATATTGATGTATAATAATCACAGGGAAAGTATACTAGCATTAAACAACAGGAATTTATATATTCACAAAAGTAAACGCGAAACAATGAACAAAGATTGAAATTCGAATTATATTCACATCAACATGATCGTTTATATGTAGGTACAAAATTTATTATCATTATTAATAGTATTATTAGAAGTGTAGAATGACTGATAGCACACAGTGGATTCAACTGAAATGTAATCATTGACATATAAATGTATAAAGGATACTTTTTGTTTGATTCTCTAAATGATTGTGTCTCTATCTGTTTGGTGTACTTGTATTACTGTCTTGATGGTGGTGATGGTGATGATTATGATGATTAGTCATAGACATACCTATAGATTGATTTGGATCATGTTGATAAGATTGATTTAGAGTGGTTTGATCATCTCTATTCGATACTAATATACCAGGTCGTACGCCTAATGTTTGTATTGGTATTAAGTGTGTTGCTGCGGTTGGTGCAGCAGAAAAGGGGAAAAATACAGCAGGATTTTGATGAATAGAATTTGAAGAAATCTTATTAATATTATTATTATCTGTATGATTTTTATGTGTTAAGTAGTACATTCCACTAGAATCCATACTTTCTGAAAGTTGTTCATTATTTGAACTTCCTTGTGTATTATTATTACCATTATTATTATCAGATGATGCAGAAGTTGATAGATTAGGCATACCATTAAGATTTAATTGTTGTTGATGGTTATGCGGATGACTATTTGATGTCCAAAAACATGAATTCATATGCTGTGGAACACAATATGTCTCCATAAGTTGTTTATATTTACTTGTATCACTATCCATTGTTGTTTTAGAGATAATTGAATTTCTAAGATCATTTGGTCCTAAACTTATTGTACCACTTCCTGTACCACTGAAAAGTGAGGCACTTGCATATTCTGGCATTGGACTATCTAGATACAAAAAAGTTTTTGACAAAAAAGAAGGAAATAACATTAAAAATACAAAAAATTAAAAGTTGATACTTGTCAGATGGAAAAAACCAGTCTGCAAGTACTTTTCCCGATTACAGCTTGATTTCACACCGTATTTTTTGGTACAGGTATGGAATTTTCAGCGTGTGATATCGGTAGCCCAAATTTTGCAGGCCGACCACAGACATCAGGTGTGCGTCGGCAGGGGATCGAACCCCGGACCATGTACATGGTCGGAGAGAGTCCTAACCACTGTGTCACCAACGCACTTATGGTCCATTAACTTAGTTCCTTGTAAAATAGATATAAGCCTATTCGGTAAGTTTCCTTATTTATTTATTAGTAGAAAAGAATAAACAACTCAAATAATGACTTGAAATCGCTTCGATGATGCTTGAAAAAATTGGATCTACTTAATTATGATTACAGATTTTCAATAAGTTAATACACATCCTCTGTGCTATGAAGTTTCTGTAGCCATTGGATTTCTTTTCCGAAGTAGGATCGCTAGCCCCACACACTCAATCTTCCCTTTTTTGAGCTCTAAACTCGCTAGTAAACTAGTGACCTAGTAAACATCCTCTAATGATCGCTAATATAATGATTTCAGCAAGATACTTCCAAAATCTCCGTTAATATTTATACATCTATCCGGTATGTGTTATAAGTCTTTCTTAAGACGGCGTGCAAAACCAATAATCTAACCATTCTTTTGAAAGAATTATACAGTAATACCTACAATTATGAACGACTTTATTCAAATGTACCGGTTTCATAAAAGCACCTTTGGTATGCAATAAAACTTGTAGGGAAAAAATAACGACTACCATCCAAAAAATATCAACCTTGTTCGTAGACATAAGTTATATCGAAGTGTACAAATAAGAAGTTCTCCTGTGGTAAGACGTCAATCGGCAGAAAACTCAAATCATCCTAAATCTGGTGATTAATCGCACCCATCAACGAAACGTATCTTAAACCTTTCTCAATAATCAAGTGATCATATGATTTACTATTGTAACGGTAGAACATAAAAAAATCCGGCAATGGAATTACTTATTGGTAACTCGATGTTCAGATACAGGAAGAATGCATCTACCCGATATTAAAATTACAATTTGGATTTAAATTCGGTATTGTACTACTTTTTTCCTCCGTATTGTGCTTCTTTGTCTTCCTTTCATGTCCTCCATGTTGTTTCACAAGCATAGTTCATTTCGATGTAATTGTGTTCTATCAGCTGATTACTTTATTTGCAAAGCTTTCATTGCCCTACTAGACAACATATTCAGTGCATACTTCAATTTGAAGTGAGCTTTTAGATTTCTCCACAAGTTTATCAGTTATCTCTCCTGGTGACCTTGAACTTGAGCTGAACCTGAGCTACAAATCTTTTCCATTATATAATTCATTTCTTTTCTTCTCTTCAAGACGATGTACGATATTTATCTCTGTATCTATATGCTACTTATAAATCCTGTCAGTAGCACATGCTACACAATCAACTCACTTCGTTTGAATAGCTGTCAAAATAATTATCACTAAATGACAGCATTTCCTCACTGCATGATATGAACAAGATATTCAAAAACACATCTTGCCTAACATCATAATGAATTCATATAACTAAGCCAATTAGAACTAACAACGTAACAACTTAAATGATTTCCAGTCCAATTGTTGAGTACCATATTAAGGCAAGTAACTGTTGTACAATACTAGGACTTGAAATCTTCTCTAACCAATTTTAGGAGTAAAACTGACTACTTTGTATTGGCGTACTACAGGCGAATCACATGCCTAACCAACCTAGGTGTTCAGAAGAGCCTATATTTTTTTCAGAGTTCTCACTTAAAAGGACTATAGCATCTTGACTACATAATGGGAAGCTGATAGGACGTTTTTTATCCTCATTAGGAACCCGTCGACTGGATGGGCTGAAACTCAAATACATTCCACAGAGAAATATGTCAAAAACAATGCCGGCAAAATAAAGCTATGCAAAATTATGAAATAATAGAGAAAATCTGTAGCTCAGGTGGATGATTTGCAATTAATAGTGTTCTCTGAGCTGGTTGGTTTAGTTGCGGAGCTTTCGTCGTCCTTCTGGACAACATCTTCAGCTCAATATTATATCACTCATGAAGAAATTTAAATCATTTCAGTTTATGCTAAATATTGCGCTGAAGATGTTGTCCAGAAGGACGACGAAAGCTCCGCAACTAAACCAATCAGCTCAGAGAACACTATTAATTGCATATGTAAAATTATCTATCATTAGGAGATAACACAACCATTAATAGACTAAAATCATAGAATTAAATAATGTTACATATTCACTTACCTATGGATAATATAAAACCGTTTTCTGTTGGATAGGCTTGAGAAACAAATGATGATGTAGCAGCGTATGGAAAAACAGGCGATAAAGATGTATTAATTAAAAGGCGATTATTTTGATTATTAGAATCAGGCAATTGATTCCCAACATTTGAAATTATATGCTGTTGATGATGATCTGATGGTATGTTAGGCAAAGGAGGCAATGGTTGATCAGGTGGTGGTGGCGGTGGTAGTAGTTGATGAGAACCAAATGCATTGTTATTATTACTTTGTGGACTGGATAAACTGATTTTCAGATTTGGTGCAAATGTACAATTTGCTGCTGCTGCTGCTGGTGGTAAATTCACACCGATAAATTTATTTTCTGTCCCAAGTGTAACCATTGGATGTACAGCAAAGGCACCTGTACTCGCATCAGACAGTCCACGGCGGGCTAGAGTTAAACCATTCATTGAGGGGAAATTTGAGCCAACTGAAGAGCCATGTTGTAGTAGTTGTAGAGCTAACAAACCATCTAGAAATTGAGACAGAAAATAATTAAAGAAAAATTATTCATTATGTAAAAATTCGGATAGGTGACTGAAAGTATATTGCCACTTGGAGACAGCTAATAGAAAGAGGTATTTTTGTGATTGCTGTCTCAATGTTAAAATTATAAGCGTTATCGGTGCACTATTAGGATCGCAACTCACCATTTTTGAAACTAAATTTAGTACACAAATCGATCCCATTTAATTCTTAACGTTCATGGTAGTGATTCAAGTCAGATAATCCAGTGTAATAATAATAAAGTTAAAAAATAGCGATCCAAGAAGGGGAACCAACACACCAATGACTTTCAAACGGCCAACTCTATCGACCCCGCCAATTTGGGCGAAATATGGTAAAGAGAGTTAAGCATCCCTCATAAAGGAAGGAAAAGTGCAAAGAAATGTACTCTGTGTAATATTCTTATCGCTTTTCAGCATTTCTTTGAGAATATAGTGTTTTCAAGTATTGGTTTTGTAGGGACTTTGTTTCATTGTGTGGAGGATTTCACCATGAGCTGAAATCAATTAGAGAACCATTGGAAGACCTGGGAGTACTGGACAGCTGTTTCCTACGTCCTCATCAGTACGCACCCACCGGAGTTCGAACCCAGGACCTTCCGGTTACAAGGCGAGTTAGTAGACCATTTAGCCCCTGGGACCCAATCCAAAGGTTCTTGAATTCTAACTTCTTCCGATTCACGACATAGCGCGACCATTTCGCGATGTCTTCTTCGACGAGTTACTCCCTCATCTTCGACCTACTGTACCCTACTGGTCACAGCTAACCACTGTGGGTGCGTACTGCTGAGGAGCCCCAAACTAGGATGAAACAGTTTTCCAGTACTCCCAGGTTTTCCAGTGGTTCACTAACTGGTGTCAGCTCATGATGAAATCCTCCATACAATTTAGTGTTTATCTCATTTCATGTTATATGTATTATCTGATGGTAACAAGATGTGTCTCCAACATGCGTCTTTTATCACAGTTAAGACAACTGATTAACCTTGTATATATATACTCAGGTTCGAATCCGTACATCCCAAATACGCTTAGCTATAAACAATCAAAGTAATTTAGGGATAAATATGAAAACAAATATTTATTGAGGACAAATGTGAGGAAATATGCCTGTGAGCATTGAGTAAATAAACCAGATAAAACGATGTATGTATCACTATCACCCTGTGTATAATGAAACTTTGTCTCACAGTTATCATTATTTAATTTATTGGAATATCCATATGTGATACTCAAAATGTTAGTAACCACAACCGAAAAAGAACTAATAAAAAAATGTCTACTCTAATGTCTGTTCAAACAGAATGCAGAGAATCAATGTATGTATGAAGATACGTGCATATAGGGTAGTTGTACTCAAGTCTCTAACTAAAAAGTTATCTTTAGAATTGATAACATAAGAAAGGCGTACGTACATACTGTCTGTCTGTCTGTTTTCGACATAGAACTTTGCACAAATGTGCGGAAGTTCAAGTCGCCACACTCCGTGTAGCACACAAAGCAAGAGAAGAAAGTATAAGAAAAGCATGATCGAAACAGTGAGCAGAGGGGTGAGACAAAGGAGGAGTAATAACGAAAAACAAAACAGTTACATTGGAGATCATAAGTCACATACATACTACGAAGATATATTTACAAATAGCAGACAATGTATTATTTACCCTTCAATTTATAAGGCTCACCAACCACCTACCGCCACTCGCTGCTAACGCCTTGATAACGGAAAGACAAAGAGGCTTATACAACATGTTATCAAGTCTTTATTTATTTGTTGATATCATATACCAGCTTTGAAGCGAGAATTAATAATATCGAAATATTACCAATAACAAAACTTATCATTGTGTGTAAACTATTAAAATATAATTATACTTTATTTGAGAATTAATAAAGCTGACAAAACACAAATATTATCATGTGACTAGTCACGGAGCCAAAGGGTTAATAAATCATCCGAATTGCTGAGTCATGTAAAAAGAAATAACTTTAGCACATAAAAACCTATAATAATTCTGCTGGCTTGTCTCATGAAGTGCTATTGTAGTGAGAATCTTTAAAAGTCAAAAATCAATTAAGTGGCACACAAGATGGACATCACAATTATTCATTGTTAGAAACACAGCAACTAAAATACAAATTCTTCATCCCTATAAATATCTCTGTGTTATGCCTAACGAAGAGAATCTAGTGGAAAGTATCGATAATGAGAGAAAGAGAACGGATCGTTAGATAACAGCTTTGCTGAAGGAAACCAAAAGTGCTATTGAATACGGTTATGCTTACTGGTTGTTTTAAACGCTGACAACTAACCATGAGTTGGTCGCTTAGTGATGAAATTTGACTCAAAATGATATTTAAAAGATTATAAATAAGACTAAACACATTGTATAAATTTATACGATAATTAGTATGTGCTGATTTCCTGTTGCATAACTATCAAGCTGTTTGACCTAATACGGCATTGTTAGAGCAAAATGTCACGATTACGTCATCTATAATTACTCAGTAGTCTTTTAAACGTTAAGACTTCACGTACAATGAGAATATTAACTAATTAAATGTCACGAATTATATCGATGACGTGATGTATGTCTTAATAGCATTAACCTATCAGCATTCAAACAACTTAAACAAAAGTTATTAAGTAAGCTAGGTGGATGATTTAATTCTTTTTACAACTCATCAAGTATGCATGGATAAAGCTTCAATTTTGCGAGTTACTGCTATGAGTAATGCAGAAGAATGTAAGATGATATTATCAAGCAGACGGCACTGAGTAGGAAATGAAATTTGAAGCTTATATTTCAAAAGTATAGAATTAGAAATTGTAAAAACAAACGCTAGTTATTCAAATGTTTGTTTGTATGGATTTGATTGTTTAAGCGTACTGATGAAGAGTCCCAAACTAGGACGAAACAGCTGTCCAGTACTCCCAGGTTTTCCAATGGTTCTGTAACTAATATCAGCTGATGATGAAATACTAGTGATTGCTGCAAACATGTTTACCCAGAATGATGTGTACGAAGGTAAATCGAACATAAGATATGAAACAGTAGAAAATCCTGTGTCAAATTCTATATAGACTGTCAAATTATTTTGATTAGAATGAAGTCTAGCCTCTGATGTTTAAACAACCAAGTACATTGGAGAAAAACGTTTCAATAAGGGTCAGTAAACATATTGGTTAAATAAGGTTGTGCATTTATTAAGGTTAGCTGTGAAATCCAATGAAGTTAAGGGATTTTTTATATTTTGACCAAGTGTCCAAAAGTGTCATCTCTTACAATAATGAATCTATTTCCCAAAAAGGTTTCATGATTTGGTATGTGGCATAGCAATCAAAGTAGTATTATCAAATTACTGGGAAACACAATCACTAATATGCGATGAGTTTGCTAGACCTGTATACATTTGACGATCACTGTCAATATCATCATTATGATATTGGGAGTACACAGTACGTCGTGTCAAAGTTAAGCATGAAATACTGGTGTTACAGTCATATGGATCTACCTTTTGTATAAAGCTATATATTGCTGACTGAGATGAGTACTCGTATACCACGCATACCAACCCAGTTGTGGCTGGAAAGCAGATCGAGGTGACCTGAACACCAGACAGTCGTTCCCCTCATATAGGGCCAAGGTTTATCAGCTGTTTACCCGAATTTGACTAGGCTTTCAGAGCCGAATCCGTTTAAAGCACTTGATTTCTGACTAACTAATTAGCGAATCATGCATTGGATCCACCTTTCAAATGACGTCTGAAAGACAGCTAAAACAACTCTATCTAATAGTGAATAACATTCAGTGACTTTTTGGATTATATAACGACATAATTCATCTAGAATTCTCAAAAGTGCTCCAGTAAATTTAATTGTATGACAAGAAATTATAAGAAGAGAAGAGACATCAAAGATAGTAAAAGCAATCTTTACTTGCGTGTTATTTACCGACAGCAATGGTAAGTCACTGCGAAACATGTACTAATCCATTAGTAACACCTGCCTTTAACATAGTAGGCTTTAAAAGTCACGATTTAAAACAAGGACGAAATACAATCAAACGGGATTTATACTTCACTTACTACTAAATCTACTAATGAGTAGTGGTTACCAGACCAACAAAAATAATTCCGATAGGTGGATAAATGTCTAGATAAACATCCAAGCCTGGTGAATGAAATTAGAATTGAATTCAATTAGCGAATTAGTCTCAGGAGGGAGTTTCTTACAGTTTTCTTGAGTAGCTCAATAAGTCCATGCAGGGATTTTTAAAGTCAAATAACAATACAGTCTGTCTGTCTAGATTCAATATAGAACTTGGCACCGAAGTGCACCAGTTCGAGTTGCCACGTTCCAAATACCACACAAAGGTAGACAAGAAGATGAGTGAAGAGAATCAATACAGTCTGACAAGTATAAGAGTGAAACAGAATGGGTAATGGTAGAAAGGAATATGAAAGATTACAGAGACTGAATACATCTGCGCTGGCCATCGACAATGATTTTGAGCCATGTCACCTATTGTCTCCAGCCACTGATTCCTAGAGTCAGTCCCGACGGCCCCGACTCGGAAGTCTGCATCTCCCTACCTGACCGACTCAGTTTAACTGTCAAGGATTTCATGGATTGATGAGGCCATGTTTTTGTTTGGCCACCACTTACTCTTTTCCAACCTGCACCTATATCAGCTAGTAATGCCCGTCGGGCGGGGGAGGCGATGGTTAGGCATGCACAGCGCCTCACCTAGCCATCTCAGTCTATGTAACTTTATAGCCTCGTCGATTGATTTTCCCTCTTTGCCTGCCCAACACTCTACACCTAACGTCAACATTACTTACCTTATTAAACCACTTAACGTGAGAAAGACATCGCAGACATCTATCATCGAAAGCAGTCAACCTTTTCATGTCTTCAACTCGTATTGGCCATGTTTCAGAGCCATAGAGAAGGACGGAGCGAACTGCAGCTGAGCAGTACACACGTCCCTTGGTTGATAGCCGGATGTCACGCCTACGCCAGAGATGGTGTAAGTCAGCGAAAGCAGCTCGAGCTTTTCGGATCCGTGCTGAGATTTCATCGCCAATCAGTCCGTTGGTGCTGATACAACTTCCCAAATAAGTCAAGTGGTCAACATGTTCTATCACTTCACTCCCTGTCACTAAGCTAGGAGTTGATGTAGCCCAGTCCTGTAGCAGTATCTTACATTTTACAAGGGCGAATCGTATGTCAAACATACGAAGATTGCTGCTCAAGGTGTTCAGAAGACTTTGAAAATAACAATACAGAGGATAATTACAATCACTTAGTAAGTACAATCTAATCAGTTTAAACTATAGTCCGTTTGTTAATCCATATCTTAGCAGTTAACTTTGTTTCACTAGTAGTGAAGGTGACAGACATGGTAATATCCCAATGAATTTCATGAAAAAAGATCACAATAATGACTAAAATGAAGGACGCATCTTCTCTGCCATCAGACATGCGAGTATTTCTAAACCAAATTCACTCTAAGTGTTAGTGATTATAAAGCTCAGACATAGTTGAATGGGGAAACAAGACAAACTAATTCCTATGTCATTATGAGTCATTAGAAAACACGCTACAAACCATAACACGTGAAAGCATGAGTCACACCAATACATGGTTAACTATTCATGTTAAATATCAGTATGTGTGTCTGTCAATTCTAGGGTACGTAAAATAAAGTGATAATGACAATCAAGCTTTCCAAAACAGAATTATCAAAAATAGGAAGGGAGGATAATAGAGATATCCAACTATTTAAGCTGAAAATACAATCACAATGGACAAAAAAGCAATAACACAACTGTCCTTTTTTGTTGTTGTTCAAATCACTACTGCAGCATGCTGCTTACCTTGGTCAATTCCATTCGAGTAAGGAGTACACACTGTCCCAGTCGGATGAGTCATCATATCAGTGTATCCTTGAGATAAAGCAGCCAGATGATTACTGTGCGTGTCCACAAATGTTGGGTTTTGTAGATTTACAGCATTAGCGTTAATCTTGTTATTATTATTATTACTACTCCCATTATCAGTAGTATAATTGTTACCAGTCGATTTCAACTGATTATATTGGTATGATGGGTTTAACGAAGAAATAATACATGGACCGGAGGATGAAGAAGAAGAAGGAACAGATAAAGTGGATGATAAGGAGTTTTGATTTTGTCCTGTTGTAAGAAGTAGATGTTGATGCATAGGTTGTTTATCTAATGTCTGTGGTAATTGACCTTTTTGTAGCTTTTTTAAACGTCTTTGTCGACACCGCTTTAACCGGAATACCATAAAAGCAAAAAAGCATGCAAATGCAAATGAGCCTAAGCAACAAGATATAATTGCAATGATATATGGTACATTTGAATTCTTGTGTTTAAATGTTGCACTAATTGGTACATCAGCTGATGAAAGAGATGCTTGTGAATGTGTTGGTTGTTTCGCGGTGCCAGGATCTGAAAGATAAGAAATAATGTGGTTATCATAGATGGTAATATGCTGCTTTTTTTTCAAAACTATGCAGCAAAGTCACCTAAAATCTTACAACATGAAATTTTGACAAATATATTTCAAATGTCTTACCATTTTGCACTGAGGGTTGATTAACCATAGGTGGGGAAGTTGATTGTTGATCAGAAGATTTGGCTATTGCAGATAGACTATCACCAACAGAATCAATGCCAGATGAATCAAAATCAGGTATCTTTTGAACAGGATCATCAGATTGTTCTGGTTGTATAACAGCCCCATTCGGTACATATGCTAAAATTTCAAAAATTAGAGAATACGTCAAAATGAAATTACTCCAATCAAGATTTGATTTACAACTAATCTCAATATAAGTGTTTCCGTATTAAGAAACAAATAACTCCTCGTGAAACCACATTACTGAAGAAAACATTTATTTATTATGAATTACACGTTAAAATATGATGTCGCTGTCAAGGTATCGGATAGTCTACTCAAGTACATCAAAACCCCTTTCAATATACCCAGTTTATGGCTTGTATACTGAAAGCCAGAAGTATCACTTAAAGATGTGTGAGGGACAAACTACCGTTTATGTCCATTTCTATGCTTATCTACTGTTTTACATGCTTCTATAGAGCTGCTTACAATGGATCTTGTAAGCGAGCAAGTCTCCTAGATACACGTAGCCTAATATTACACAGCTTATTTGACGAAAGTTCTAAGTAGGATGACGAAATATATTTGCGAACATCTGGAATCAGGTTATTTAGCTCCCTGTGACTTATAACCTTTTATGTGTAGGACTCAAATTCAATTACTCTAAAGTCTACGCTTCATCACCAGTGTAGTGAAAGAGTACTATTCATACATGAACAACAACCTGAACTGTATGTTCGTTCTAACAATGTTCTTTTGGTATTTATTTCACTTTACTTCACTTTGTCTTCTTTATCATTATGATTACCGATACAATCATTTCAATATTTTGACACCACTCGATGGATGACCCACTTATACCTCTTAATATCATCTTCTTTCTTTAATAACCTTTTCTGTATTTATTTTATCCACTTTAATCTTATGCGTACTAACAAGTATACTATTTTTTTCTTTATTATATTTGTACTGATTTAAGTAATTTTTAATGCAATTAACTGTCTTTTTACATAATATAAACACAACTATATAGAGCTTGTAAATGAAGTCATCGAGAAGAAATGTTTTATTGTTGAATCAATGTTTGTTTTTGTCATACACGGCGAACAATTCCAAAGTAATCGAAATTCTGTGTATGGTAATTAAGGATTATAAACAAAATTTATATAATGCCGTCCATAAAGCCAAGAAACACAACACTTGAATATGATGTCATGAATTGTGGGTTAATTAGACAGAAACTATGTACAAGTTAGCAAATTTCGGTCGACCGTTTTTGCTAGAATAATAAAAAGATAATAGTTAACCCACCCCCAACACCCAATTTCGTGTGAGTCCTTGGCACAGAGGTAGAATGGTCGCCGACCACGAATGTAGTTCAGGGTTCAACCGCCGGTCGACGTACTCCTTTGCCTGACTAAGCCAGTAACAAGACTGGTAAAAAGTGAAGGTTGGGTATGAGGCTAGTAACCCCATCCCGTAAAAACAAACACCACTGCTACCGAAACCCCAAGCCTCCATCTTGAAGCCCTAAGTTCCACTGGGAACGCAAAAGGGATAAAATAAATTTTAAAAGCTAAACCCAAATTCTTGAATTTATAAGCTGTGTAGCTTAAAGAATACCCATCCTTATAAATTACAAAGAGTTAATAGACTCGCTTAGTCGGAATGAAGCAGGAGGTAATTAACGTTCACTGTTTACTGCTACAATATCAACTTGGCGACATTTATCCTAGTCAATTTCATAATCACTAATAATAAAATTGTGAGAAACATCGACATTTAGGCGTATTGATGTATTTTATTCACCTGTGATCACCATTACCACGTAAGTAAAAGAGTGTCATGGCAGTACTGTCATGTATGTACATCTTTTAGCAAGCTACACGCTCAAATCAGCACGTGTGTGTGTGTACACGGAGATGTCTAGGAAACTAACTAAACACAAACAGATAGTCAGTATCACTTGGGTGATAAAAAAAAACCTGAATGTTCGTTGTTTCTCTTTCCAACACAATCACTTGTCTTTTATGCATTGTATAAATAAGCATGTCAAATGTGCGAATTGACTTCTTCAAGCATACAACAAACATCATACTGTAGAAATTTCAAAAAACAGAAAGGAACTTTTCTCAAACGAAATTAAGTTGAAACATGTTTCTATTGTGTTAAAAATTTCTATCAGATTACTATAACCAACATTGTCATGACATCTTAATTTTTAGTTACTGTGTTAGATATTACAACCTGAAAAGCAAACATAACAAATTACTTTGACATGTTTTCGCATTGAATATGATTCTACAGTATGACATTGAAATCATAAAGTGCTGTACACAATAATTATTTGTGGTTGAATAAAGAATATTAAAAGATAAGAGACTGTACAAACGAACAGACTACTTAATTTGTTGTATGTAAGCGTCAACTTTACATTAAACATACTTTGATTGGACACGAGTAACTAGTGTCCTACAGGAGGTCAATTGTGAGCCCGAATACCTCAGTGGTAACGCATCTGACTGCAATACTGGGCGATGCGAGTTTGAATCTCAGAAGGGGCATGAATACCTTCAAGATTGCAGATACGCCTTGCTGACTGGTAACTGACTGCCAGGCAGCACGAAACCTAGGTCAAGCAAGGCTTCCTGATGATTGCCTCAAACCATCTAATATCAACAATTTAAATTAGGCATGTCAGGAGAGTTGTTTCGCTGAATCTTGACAGCTTTCAGTAAGCTAAGCGTACAGTGCTCACGACTTCAAACACATGATGTGCAAACTTGAATAAGTTGAGTAGACTGATATGATACCATTTCATTTCATAGTTAACTGTCAACAGAACATAGCATAGGACAGTTTTAAAGTCGGAGCAGACCAAAAGACGTTCTCATACGCTAATTAATTGAATCAAATAATGTTACCCAAATAAAGCCTTTTATTTTCATGCATAAGACTACTGATCTCAAAAGTGCATACAACTTATCTCATTTTTGGTTACAGGATTTCATCATGAGCTGACATTAGTTAGAGAACCATTGGAAAACCTGAGAGTACTGGACAGCTGTTTCGTCCTAGTTTGGAACTCTTCAGCAGCACGCACCCACCTGGATTTGAACCCAGGACCTCCTGGTTACCAGGCTAGCGAGCTCGTATACCATTAAGGCACTGGGAGCCAATGGCCCATGAATTCTAACTTCTGCCAATTCACGACATAGCGCGACCCCTAACCCGGTGGGTGCGTACTGATGAAGAGTTCCAAACTAGGTTTTCCAATGTTTCTCTAACTAATGTCAGCTCATGATGAAATCCTGTAACCAGTCAAATCCCTACAAACCAACACTTGATTATCTCATTTTAATTAGTTTGAATTAACTAACTTCTACAATACTTACGTAATATTTGGCGATAATTTTTCTACGTTACCACTCCTCATATTTCACTTCCTTACTGATTCTAGGACATTCAATGAATATATATATATATATGTATGCTTATGGAGGACAGGGCAAACTTCAAAATCTGAATATAATAGTGACAATGACAAAAAAACAAACGCACAACCATAACTTCTGATAGCAGATGAATAGAAATGACAAGCAAACAACTAAAATACACTTGGATAAAACAAGCCTAATTCTGCTACACTTTGCTTCCGCGTATTTACTTCGAAATGAAAAAAATATATACTAGATAGGATCGTATTCAAACAAGATTTTTTTTAAACTAAAATATTAATCAAAATTAATATATTTTTCACTACTTGAATATGACTAGGAAATATACAGAGCAAAAAGATTAACACTTCATTAGTCTTCATTCAGCATTATACAAACACTGAAGGGCAAACTTCATACGAAATTATCCATACACTGAAATTTACTTGTACAGGACCCATGTAGTCAATCTCTTTTCGTATACTGACTCCTAAAAACGAAGCTTCGATAATCCTTTTTGATTTTAAACATGATGTTATTTAGTAGAACAGGATAAGCGTTTCAACCTATTTGAAGTGAATAAACTGGGTGTAACTGCACATCTCATCAGTTCAAAGAACTTTTACTGCTGGCGAACTACACGTATTATTCTCTACATGACCGATGGTGATTCTCCGACTGAAATATGAAGTACATAGACTAGCCACTTCTAATTGTATCTATCAATTCAACTGCGCTTTTGGAGCCAGTTATATTGGCCGTTTCTCTAGGAACTTGATTTTTCGTGCTCGCTCGAGAACATCTCCCAGCATGGCTAAGTAAAGGTGTAGTGAAAACTATTAACAGATCGATATTGGAACATCTGGTGCAAACAGGCCACAAAGCCAGCGTAGATGAATCCTTCTCTATATTATACCGGGTGCCAAATAAATTACCAAAAACATCGAAGCACCGCAGGCTCCAAACAGCAGAGGCTATTGCGACTCGCCTCAAACAACCAACACTCTGTGTCCAAAAGAAGCAAGTCCAGCCCCTACTATTGCCTGGCCTTCATTAGAAGCTATAAACTCATGAATTTGTAATGTTATCCTTCCTAATTCTTCTGACATTCAGCTTATTTTATGTTGATGCGATTCAGCTCTAATCTATCAATATCATTGATTTGATGTTATTTAAACATTAACGTCGTTCATAACACTAATTCATTCATTCACTATAATGAATGTATAAATGTAGAACCTGATGATGAATTTATCGAAAAGAGTACTCTTTGTTCAGTATCCATTCTTTAGAATAGTGGTGTTTCCATCGGAGATTCGAGCACAACACTCATCATTTTAAACAGTAATAAATAATAACCGATGCCTAATGCGTAAGACGTGGTTGTCGTGGGTCATTTGCCGAGTCTTTTGTTCAACATTAAATGTATAAATATAATAGAAGGTCCAGTGGGACACAGAACGATGTTCGAAGTGAATCTTTTCCAGATTGATGTGTTTTTAGACAGACAATGTGGTTTTCATTTAACTATTACGGTTGTCAGTCTATAAACTCACCACCGGATGATGTAACTAACTCAGAGCTTTTAATAATCACTTTGAAAACAATGAAGTTTATCATCAAGAGATTATAACTAAACCATTAGATTTTGCATAACTTAAACTACTACGCTAAAAAATCTTTGAATCATGCAATATG